GTGACAATAAATGATAGTTTTGACCATGTAATCTTAAAAGCTGGGTAAGTGGGAACATGTAAATGCTGAATAGTAGGGGCCCTTTATCGAGCACTGACGAACATTAGATTTAACAAACTCAACTTCAGAACTTAAACCTCCAGGAGAAACAAAGTGTTGGCTATCACTAAGGTAAGACTTGAATCATTTAAGAGCAATGTCAGAAACTCCGAAACAGACTCAGGAATAGAACGTAAGATGTCATGGTTAAAAGTGTCATAAGCATCAATGAGGTCTAGGAGAATAAGGATAGAAACATATCCAGAATCAGAAGCAATAAGAAAAATCTTTAGTGACTTTAAACAGAGCAGTTTTTCTCCTGTATGTCTGAAACCAGATTGGAAGAGTCTGAAGATGTTATTTGCTATGAGATAGTTATTCAACTGAATTATAACAGAACATTCCAAAATTTGCATGAAAAGACAGGTTAGATATGGGGCACATATTGTTTAGGTTGCCCAGAGCCAAATCCGATTTTTTTTGGCACCAGGGTAACTGCAACTGCAACTGTTTTAAAGGCCATTGGTACCACTCCAGTGCTCAATGTTTGTTCATTGTATAAAGGACAACAGGGCAGAGGGCAGAAAATCAGAACTGAAATAAAGCAGTGGGAATGAGATCTAATAAACAAGTGGTGGATTACATAAGTAATACCAATTATTAAGACACACATTGTCAAGTTGAGAGAAACTAGAAGGAAAGAAGGAAAATTAGAAGTAAAATTAAAAGTAGAAGGAAGTAAAACTAGACATGCAGGGAGAAGGTATAGTAGTACTGTAGGCACAGTAACACTGCTCATAGAGGTAGGAAGAAAATAGTGACAAGAATTGCAGTGGATGTATCTCTTAGGACGTATTATCCTAATATCCCGGAAATAGTCATAGGTAGATTTTACAAGGAAATAATTAAATTTAAGATGCAGTGTTGTAATGAGGAATACCTTGTAAACATTTCGGTGAAAGCTGGGATGACACAACAAAAGCTGAGAGAGAAATCCTAGATCAGGGGACAGTGGGTGGTTTTGAAGAGCCCTTAGTCTTCAAACCTGAGGGCAGTCAGCAATAGAATCCAAGTCAAGGTGGTAGTCCAATTGTAGAGAAATAGCAATAATAATACGACTGTATTTGGCAGTGAATTTAAAGATATTGGCAGCAAAACAAAGTGAAAAAAATATTAAGCATAACAAGTAAATCAAATATCCCATATTGGTGCTGACCTCAAGGTGAGAGGAGTCTGAGCCAGATGCACATGTTCTCCCTCAACCAGAAACCAAAAGGGGGTAATGAAG